CCCAGCCATGTGAGAGTGAGGTCCTTGTGAGGACCTCACAATAACATGGCCGGGATAGCTGCCTTCTGTATTTCCAGCAGGGGGACAGCCTGTAATGACAAGTATTCCCCCTGCTGGCTGGAAATAAAATTAAATAAAAGTAAAAAAAAGTGTAAAAAAAAATAAATATATATATGATCTAAGTATACATATACATACACACACATACACAGTCTAGGTGTATTTTACTATTAATATCTATATAATTATATATATATATATATATATTAATATCAAATTACACGTAGACTGATATTGATTAAATATATATATAATTATTGTTATATATATTTATATATAATATAAAAAAAATTGTAAATACGTTAAAAAATAAAATTAAAAAAATATATAGATGTGTGTTATTTCGTGTGTTATGTATTGTGATATTAATATATATATATATATATATTTATATCAAAATACATGTAGAACTAAATAATATATATATCTATATACATAAATATACTTTTTTATCACTATATATATACCAATATATAAATAAAAATATTTAAAAAAAAAATATATATATATATATATATATATACACACACATATATATTCGCATACGTATATATATACATATATTAATTCTACATATATATATTTATGTAATATTTTTACCTAATTAGGTATCTTAATTAGTTACAATTAGCGGGACCTGCCTGACAACCCATGCCGAAAGTAAAGGGAATTTATTTGCTAGCATTATATTTAACCCTATAACTTTCCAAGACACCATAAAACCTGTACATGGGGGGTACTGTAAAATGTATTACAACGATGATATCGCCAGTAAAAGTGAAGTTTTTTTGCATTTTTCACACACAAACAGCACTTACACGGACTATATTATTGCTGCGATACTTTTTACTGTTTTGAAACACAAATATTTGTGTTCAGCGAAGTCTCCCGAGTACAACAGTACCCCTCATGTACAGGTTTTATGGTGTTTTCAAAAGTTACAATATAAGGCTTGTGTTTAATTTTTTTCGCATTAAAATTCGCCAGATTGGTTACGTTGCCTTTGAGACCCTTTCGTAGCCCAAGAATGAAAATTACCCCTATGATGGCATACCATTTGCAATAGTAGACAACCCAAGGTATTGCAAATGGTGTATATCCAGTCTTTTTTAGTAGCCACTTAGTCACAAACACTGGCCAAAATTGGCGTTTTTTGCATTTTTCACACACAAACAAATACGAACGCTAACTTTGGCCAGTGTTTGTGACCAAATGGCTACTAAAAAAGATTGGACATACCCCATTTGCAATACCTTGGGTGGTCTACTATTGCAAATGGTATGCCATTATGGGTGTAAATTTCATTCCTGGGCTACTATAAAGTCCCAAAGGCAACGTAACCTATCTGGCGAATTTCAATTTCAAATGTAACGTGCTATATTTGTCCCTGTAATTTCCCAAAACGCCATAAAACCTGTACATAGGGGGTACTGTCTTACACGTGAGACTTTGCTGAATACAAATATGTGTATTTTATTGCAGTAAAGGCAAACAGTATTATGACATTGACAGTTAAAATGTCATGTAGAACAAAAAAAAAATCGTATTTTCTCCCATTTTTTTCATATTAAATTGTTTCACAGCTAAATATTTGATATTAAATGAAAGCCCTGTTTCCCCTGAATAAAATGATATATAATAAGGGTGGGTGCATTTAATATGAAAGAGGTGAATTACGGTTGGACAGACATGTAGCGCAAATGCCAGGTTTTGTTTACATTTTGTTTCGTTCACAACGTGTACATTTGGCTCCGTCCTTAAGCCACTGGATTGATGACTATATGCATAGAAAACTATTTTGGGGGATTTGATGTCACATTTTCCAATGTGGACTGCTTATTATCTGATAAGGGCAATACCCAATGACAGCAGTAGGCACCCTTCGGCTCTTCAGATGTTGTGGAATAGATCTACCTTGATGCCATGGCTGGAAGAGTATTATGAGAGATGTAGTCCATAACATTCGGAATGCCGGAGATTGCGTACCACTGACCTAGGAAGTGCTTTCCTCCCAATATTGTCAGTAGATCCCATGCGGAATCCACACCTATAGAAAACATTAGCCACGTTCTCTATGAAATATAAACCAGATCTGCTTGCTGTGTATAGCTAATGCAAACTATTTAAAAGCCTTTTTTTTTTTTTTTAAACGAATATTGTTTTCTGAACCTGTTTGAACATATCAGAGCTCACTCTATGATTTCCGTGAAAGGTTTATACACTTAAACCATGAAAACATATTTTTCTGTTAATATAGTACCAAATGCTTCAGCCTATCGCTGCCATGTCACTTGGTCCGAAAAATATCCGTCTTGCCAAATGGCAGGGTAACAGCCTGGCAAATATATGAATTGTTCCAAAAATGTTAAAAAGGCATTTTTTTTTTTCTGGCCATGAGCTTGGCAAGTCATAAGTAAAAGGTTGGCATTCCTAATATTAAAAATGTGTGATATTCTGTAGCATATGTGGAACGGCACTTTGAATCCTTTTTAATTACGTTCGCCTGTAGCCATCAAGTTGTCTGTTATTCATCCAAAGCTGCACAAAAATATCAAGCTTTGCAACAAGGGAGTACTTTTAGGATTTCTATTACAAATCAGATTAATCTGTTACTATACTTTAGTATGATTTATGTCCATGTCATTGATAATAAAACGCAGTCACATTAGTTAATCACAAAGAAAACAAAAACTATCCCTTACTGAGATAGTGAGTGATATACTAAAGTGCCTGAATAAAAGCAGCTCAACACAAAAAGTGGAATACCTTAATCGACAATGAAGTGCAAAATACAAGAAAATGCAAAATACAAGAATTTTTATTTTTTTATTTTTTTATTTTTTATTAACAATGACATTTGGGAAGATGTTGGAGGGCGGAAGTGATGTCACTTCCGCCAACCACTGCCCTGAATGGGTGCTATACATGACAGCCCCATCCAATCACCAATAGAATTTGTTCTAATCAAGTTTTTTAATTGATTGACAGGCAATTCAGCCAATGAAAGCCTTTTTACCACAGGTGATCAGTATAAAAAAAATAAATTTTGAGAAAGATAGCCCTATCCAACCACCAATAGAATAAGTTTTTTAACTGATTGACAGGCAATTCAGCCAATGCAAGCTTTTTTACCACAGGTGATCAATATAGGAAATTTGAAAAATACAGCACCATCCAACCACCAATAATAATCAAGCTTTTTGATTGATTGACAGGCAATTTAGCCAATGTAAGCTTTTTTACTACAGGTGATTAATATAAGAAATTTGAAAGAGACTCTGACCTTATGATTGGATAATCACACATCCTGTGACCTCAAAGGGAGGATCCGAATCAACTTTAGAGCACTTATAAAGTGGAAGATTCCTGAGGCTACTTCACAGCTACTGAGGAAGCTCATACAAGAGTGAAACGCGTTTAGCTGGAGTTTGGACTTTTATACTTGGACTTTCCATCATTTAGCTTATGTGCTTTTGAGAAGTCTAAATATTGTTTTTATTATTATTTTTTTATCTCTACAATAAATTGTTATTTTTTTTATATATTAGTCCATATAGTCCTTTCTAGCCTCCAGGAACACCATGTGGGGAATGCTATCCCAATAAATTAGCACATTGCCAACAAACCTCAGAGCCAGGAATTCAAGGCTCTGTCTAAGGTGAGCATATCTATTACTATCTCACTATATTGTATACACCATATGTACAATACCACCTATGAGGTTCTCTCTCTCTGTTTGTTCCATATCTTCGGGAGAATATCGTTTGGGATAAAGGGGTGTGTTGCTGCCTCAAGAGCAAGAAGGAGTCACTTACGGAGCCAATAGCTTATAGGCTCCAACCCACGTGAGTGGTTTCAACCAATTGCTACCATTATTCATTTTTTATTTTTTGTAAACCATCTGCACTATATTCTCTCTTTTTGTTGTTTTACTTTGTATGTACATTTGGACACATTGTATCACTATGTTGGAGGGGTGAGTATACCCCCTCATTATTTATATATATATTCAATATAGCGCTCCACTTGCTGGTATATTGTTTATACCTTTTTTTTCTTACATTAGTTAATCAATCGATGCGTTTACGTCTGACAGATGTCTTGTAAAATCAACTCAATGAATTTCTATGGTAATGCAATTAAAATCCATTGAAATGTCCCTCTTGTGAATCCAGTCAAATATTCTGAAATCCTGGTTAATGAATGTGGCTCAGAGTATAGTAGTGTTTTTATTATTATTTCATTGTCCCAGTTTTAAACATAACACCTGTTCATTAATTTTATCACATGACAGGAGGCTTCGTATTTTGCATAATCTTTCTTTACTAACTCCAAAGCAGCAAAGAAGAGTGACAAAACTGAGAACCAATCACAATGTAGTATAGGGTATAAGAGGCCTGATATATGACATAATTTCCTCTTTCTTTGCTGCTCCATCACAAGAGCTAAGTACAAATTCTTTTCTCTGTCATATTTGCTGAACTGTGATTTATACATATTCATACTATCATTGTTTAACTAACTGTGATATTATCATACATATTGTATTGTTTTCTATTGATTACCTCTACCGTGGTGGGGGCTACCCCTCTCCTTTGGGGTCTGTTCAACCTCCCCTCAGGGACCAGGGGTGGAGGGAAGGGGGTTCCCTCCACCCTCCCACCCCTGGCTTCTGGGATATTTCCCGGTCCCCAAAAGGATTTTGGGACTCCCCAGCCATTTATTCTACTTCCCAGCGCCCTTACTATTCCCGCAGGCTATTTCTTTATGCCGTGCGTTTGCAGAACTTTCCCGCCTTCTGCTCAACCTTTCGTCTCATGTACGGCACTAAAATCTTGCCGTGCGTTTGCGGAAGGACGTTCACTCCTTTTCTACCGAACGCTCACTGTTCGGCAGTTTTACATGATCTCCGCTTGGTGGTCACATTCGCATGCTCATACGCACAAACACCCGAACAGCATTACCAGAAAGCTCATGTTCGGCTGTTTGTGCTTATGAACGCCTGCATTCGTGCAAATCCTTGATTTGCCACCCAGATTAGGGGAGGTACTATTAGTCCGGCGGCCATTTTAAAGGGATATTGCTACCAGACAAACTGCCTATCTCTACAGCTCTGAGTCAAAGCAAACCGGTTACTATACCCTGCCTGTTTTCAATCAGTGGGACCAAATCAGGTTAGTGTATAACACTTGGGGTTGGTTAAGCAAGTTGGGCTATCCCTTATTCTGGCCGGGGTGTGCCCCCATTCATGTGCTGCTGAACGGACCTGTTTATGTAGGACTTCGGTTACCTGGGTGAGCCCCAGTGACAAGCCCTCTCATCACCTTCTTACGACCTACCGGTCCTATAATCTCCAGGTAAATCATTACCGATACAATATCACCCCTGGTCCCCAGGCCTCTCCAGTTAACGTGCCCAAGTGCCCTCACACATAGTTAATCGGGTGAGCCCCGAGTGTTAATTCCAGAGCAAATGGAGGATTCACAAAACCCCTCAGAGCTCCAGGCCATGATCGCAGCAGCTGTAGCAGCAGCTATGGAAAAGGACTTTCTAAGCCCTTCCAGATGGAACAGGACGCCCCTAAGTCCATCTCCAAACGGACTCCCTATGGTGCAGACTCTGAAGACTCTGACTCTTCCAGGGAATGCTCTCATCGGCCTAAACGCCACTGGAAAGGTAAGGCCGCTGCACCGCGCAAATCAAAAGGAAAAGCACCTGCTAAACGCAGAATGACCACGACCCGTACGGTCCACGAACCCACTCAGATTTCCTCAGGTGAGAAAGACGCGGAACCCACACATGCACTGGCTGTGCTGGATGAATGGCAGGCGGTGGTCTCCGAACAGGAGGACTCCGACAGGGACTCTGACCCTTATCTAATAAGGGAGCAGATCCTGGGTGAGGCCCAGGACTCCATGACCACATCCATGGGTAACCCATGTTTGGGACGGGATCTCAATCTTCCTCCATCATGAATTTCTTAACCTCTCTATTCACAGCCGGAAAGTCTTATCGGTCTATCAACGTGGTACGTTCAGCCATCTCAGCGGCCCATACTCCAACCCACGGGACTCCTGTCATCTGCAGACTCTTCCGCGGCAAGCGCCTTCGATGCCCCCTGGAACCCAAATATTCACGCCTTTGGGACATTGGCATTGTTTTACAATTCTTGTGGGATTGGCCTCCCAACAAAGATTTGTCACTCCGCCAACTTACCGCGAAATTCACCTTCTTGCTCTGTCTGGTTTCCTTTGGACGGGTTTCTGACATACGAGCCTTCGATGCCGACGCATTTACCTTTTGCCCGGCGGGGGTAACCTTTCAGGTCTCACGACGCACAAAGTCCAACTCGTCCTCGGTCTTCTACCCCTTCTTCTCTTCAGACCCACAACTCTGCGTGGTCTCTACTCTCTGTCACTACGTGGAAGCCACCGCGATCTTACGGCAATCTTCCAATCGTCAACTTCTCATCTCGTACGTCCGCCCTTACGGTCCAGCTTCAGCCATTACGTTAGCCAAATGGGTTAGATGGCTATTATCTCTTGCCGGTATTGACCAAACTTTTGGAGCACATTCCGTTCGCGGGGCCGCGGCCTCTTTAGCTTATGCAGCAGGTGCTTCCCTTTCAGACCTCTTACGGGCGGCAGACTGGACCAGAGAATCCACTTTTAGGACATTTTACTTCCGTCCTCTTGATAATCCAGCTTTTGCTCTACTTTCCCAGCGTTAAAATTGCAAAATACGAAGCCTCCTGTCATGTGATAAAATTGAAGATTATGTTAGCTTCAGTGTACTGATAATCTTAATTTTAATAATGACAGGAGGCGAGTATTTTCCCTCCCTACTCTCTTTCGTTCTTCCCTCCCTATTAATTTCATATCTATGGCATTTTGTTTTCTCATATTATTGAATAAATACCTAACTTATGGTAGCATTTGTATTAATGCCTTACTTACGTTCATTCGAAGATTTTTATACATATACTCAATATGGGTGGGATATTTAGTTAACACCGTTAGACGGGAGGACGTTTTGTTATTATTATACTAGATGTTATTAAGTTCAATTAAGGGATAGACATTCATTGTTTTACACAATTTTTTTGGAATTTAATACCCTTTATACTCTCGTTTCAGCTTAATCAGAAACCACAAGGAAATATTAAAGACTCCATGCAAGGTTTCATCATCATCACACCATGGAACCTTATCAAGTCATAGATCATCGTTTGAAAGCAGGATGCCTTTGTCTGCATTCTACCTGTTCCTGTTCAATTTATTCATATTAGTTTTCCATTATCTTATTCTATGGATTTTTTCAAGTTCTTCTATTATTATTCTGCATTTATGACCTTGTGATGTCGCAGTTTTAAAGAGGAAATGTCATATGTCACGCCTCTTATACCCTATACTACATTGTGATTGGTTCTCAAGTGTGTCACTCTTTTCTTTGCTGCTATGGAGTTAGTAAAGAAAGCTTATGCAAAATACGAAGCCTCCTGTCATTATTAAAATTAAGATTATCAGTACACTGAAGCTAACATAATCTTCAATTATAAGTATACCTGACCTTAATGGTGAGGACTAAAGGATAGAAGGGTGATGGTTTGGCAAATTTAAAGGAATCTATTTCTAACACTATATAGCCCTCTGGTTCGCCCCTCCATAGGGCCCCCTCCTCCCTGGCTCATAAAGAAAATAAATCCTTTAGTCACTTATCCGATCACGGCGCTGGGTCGGCATTTCGCCTTCTCATTGGTCATCCCACTGGAGGACAGGGGGGCTAATGCGCATGTGAGTGCGTTATGCCCCCCGTAGGAATATATTGCTCTAATGCTTTTTCTATGGCGTTTTTACTGGTGCTGGATGTCCTCATGCAGAGCGTCAGCAGACCACTAAACAGGACTAATTGATTGACTGACAGCTACTAGAGGCAGTCTTAGTCCTGAAATGTAATTATTGCAATTTCTCAAACTTTGCAATGATTTACATTGCAGGACAAAGTGGGACTGGGACACTGCACCCATATCACGTCAATGTGATGAAGTGGTCTGGATGACTATAATGTCCCTTTAATTTCAAGTATTTCCCCTGTTGCTTTTTTATCCTGCAGTTCTGCATATGGCCACTGGGAGAGTAAGCAATTTAATACATTGATTATGAGATGAAATTTTCTTTTTTGGTGGAAATGAAAGAATACTCCATTAACTCACCAAGTTAATTAACTGAAAAACAGTATAAAATAACCTCTTGCTATCCAAGGGAATTTTGTTGCGGAATATATCTCTAGGAGTCTGGGATTGTTTAAATATTCTGGGTTGTACACTTTTATACATTTGTCTCACATTCAAGTTGCACTGAGGCTGGATATTAAATCCCCTTCTGTTGCAAAGTATGCACTTACAAACCTTTACATCAATCCAAAAATGTAACTGTAAGTGTAATTTAATTGTATTATTCACATATACAGGTATAGAAATGGTCCAGATTCTTCAGATATTCCTTTGGAGTGGTTATTTTACCTTAACCTGCCAAAGAAATAGATTGATCAGTCACAACATTAAAACTGGCAGGTGAGTTGAATTACATTGAATATATAGTTACAGTGGAAACTATCAGGGGGTAGGACATATCATGCATTAATTTCATGTGTTGGAAGCAGGAAAAACCGACAAGGGCCAAAAAGTGATGGCTACACAACTGGGTCAGACCATCTCCAAAATGGCAAATCTTGTAGGGTGTTCCCAGTATGCAGTGGTTAGTACCTACCAAACGTGGTGCAAGGAAGGAAAACTGGGGAACAAGTCTTATTGATGGGAGGAGCAAAGGCTAGCCCATCTAGTCCGATCACACAAAAGAGCTACTGTAGCTCAAATTACTGAAAATCGCTGGTCATGCTAGAAAGGTGTCAGATCAGTCCGAGTGTCCATGATGACCCCCTGCCCACTGCCAAAAGCACTTTCAATGGGGATATGAGCGTCCGACCTGGACTATATAGCAATGGAAAAAGGTTGCCCGGTTTGATGAATAACCTTTTCTTTTCGATCAGATGGATGGTTGGGTACAAGTGCATCGTTTACCTGAGAAGGAGATAACAGCATGATGCGAGAAAGAAGGCAGGCCAGCGGAGTGTAATGCTCTGGGCAATGTTCTGCTAGGAAACAAAGAAATGTCATGGTTCCAAATATCCATTTACCGTGAAAAATGCTCTTAATTTATATTGGTTCTAGTTTACATGAGGCCAAAGTAGCTGAATTGGGAAATCAAGTCTTAAATTTTAAACTAGGTTGTTTTGCATATTTTGCCTATTGGTTCCAAGGTCCCTGTCTAACCTCTGCCACTTTATAGTTAATCCTGTTCTGCCAAAACGCCTATGTGTACTTCCATCTATATCCTTTTGCCTCCCAAAATACACTCCTTCACCATACTGTATGTGCTCTTGAGGAGTATTATTTATTTATTAAACACCAGCAAATTCCATGGTGCTGTACAATAGGCGCACTACCAAGTAAAATAAGCCAAGTTGGACGTACAGGAACAGAACGTGCTGTGGGCCGTGCTCAAATGTACTTAAATTGAAGGGACTGATGTTTCTATGTGAACGAAAAGTCCTTCCAGTTTTCAGTATATCCTGAAAAGAAATATGAAGAAAATATATTTTAATACAATTTTGTTTTGTTTTTTTCTTAACACGTCCTATGACAACTGCTTACATCATCAGTTTCACATTGGGTTAAATTAATCTGAATTAGTCATAGACCAAATGCTGAGTTTATATTTTTCTTTTTGAAATCCCTTTTGATAATTAAACAAATAAGTTTTATTTTGCCAAAGTGCAAGAGCCTTTAATGGAAATACTATTGGAAAATCTATTAAAATGTAATGAAGCAAACAGCTTGTATTATTTCTGGATTGTAAATCTGACCACTTAAAGCAACTTACGTCCAGAAAATTTACTGTATCAACTATTAGCAGATGTCTTTTTTTATGGTAAGAACAAAAAAAGCAGTTTCCAAACTGCTGACCAACAAAATGTGCATCATTTCCATTTTAATTTTATTCTATTGAAATAATTACATATCCATTTTGCTAATGTCTATCTCACTATAGCTTGCATTAATATTCAATGTACAAAGAAAATTTAGAACCTTTATTCTGGTTTA